CGAGTAGGTTTCGGTTGGTCTCACGATGCTTCCTAGTTCTTACAGATTCATTCAGTCGAACAGCACATAGATGACTGTTCACTGGTATCCAGTCAAGAAGCGTCCTTTATGCTCCAAACCTCAATACTATGCCTACACCAGTGAGTTTACGACAGCTGGATATCAGGTCTCCGGATACTCGTGAGGTGAGTTTTGAACATTCACTATAATGGTCAGATGAGGTCAATTTAACAACCACACTCGGGTCCTCTATACGCGTCTCAGAGACAGCGTACATCCCTGACTCGGGATCCCAGAGTTCTGGTGAGTGATACTCGCGGTCCGATTTGGCGTAGGGTTCGGACGTTGAAAGCTCCTACATGAAATCGATGGCAGGGTCTTAGGAGACTAGGTATGAAGTCTCGATGATTTGGTTTGTTAGCAATGGTCGCAGAGTGAAAGGCTGAAGAAGTTTTAAGAGGTTTAATATTGGCATTAGGAGGTGAAGACAATGGAGGAGACAGCAGTAACGAGAATATGTTGTGTTTGGGTGGATTTTTTATACTTTTGAAAGCATGCGGGTTAGCAGTTAGCAAAATCGGGTCTTTTGTATCCATACAGAGATTTTTTGGTCCCTGGTCCACCGGAGTTGACCAGACTTCCTAGCTGAGTGAAGGGGTCAACGCGTCCAACCACTTCCCTTCCTGCCGTTAAATAAGGCACCAGCGAAAACAAGTGCTGGAGCAAAAATTCGTATATAAGTGGCCAGAAAAGCATCCCAAACATTCTCAAGTTGCCACCCAGGGGCTCAGAAGACTCAACATCACCTAACAGTATTATGTCATCTGTGTACTCTAGGTCTACGGAGGAGTCTCCCGTGACGGTCAATCCGGCTTACATCAAACGACAAGAGTGAGGCCTCCACGAGCACGTCTGACAATATTAAGAATGGACAGACTTCACACCACTCAGCACACATTAAGATACAAGGCAAAAGATAAGAAGGCGAAAGCAATGCAAATAAGTCATAGGAACGTACAAGACGAAAACGTAACGAAATGTTATGTAATAATTGAGAGATAATTAGGCAACCTGGAAGCCCACATTTCCCTACTTGAAGTCAAATAGCGGTCAGAAACTTCATGGATTGATACCGTAACTTTTTTCATATCCTTTTGCTTCATATAGATGTTCAACTTCGCCTGTTGATTCCCTTTTATCTAAACTGACAGGCAGCAGAACAAAACCTAATGAGTAAGTCCATCGATTCCAGTTACCACACTATGCCACGACACAAAAAAGAATTTCAATATGAGTGGGAAGATGCTAGAATAAGGGAGGATATAATTTGATGAAAATAAATAAACAATAACAGGATATCCAAGATTTCACGAGAGGAAATGAGGGAATATAACTGCACTTCCTGATTGTGGTGGACTGGATCATGCAACAAACTGTGAGGAGCGAGAAGAGGGCATACGCTGCTTGACAGATGAAAAGACCCTAGAAGGCTTGAATTTCGCTACCAATGATGATTTATGTCTAATGTCTTGCTGTTCAAACTCGGAGATCTACAGGCAAAAATCAACAAGTTGACAGAAGAGGCAGGGCAGCGAAGACGGGACTTCATTCAGGTGAACATAGAGAAGACAGAGGTAGAAGTGATGAAGATACCCAGCCACCACCAACAACAACAAGGACCAATCACCATCAACGGGAGAAACCTAAAGGAAGTAGTCTCTTTCACCTACCTCAGCAGGCAGCATCGTTTCAACTACCACAGGCGGCACAGATGAGGATGTCAAAGCCAGGATCGGAAAGACAGTAAGACAGGCCTTCATCAATCTGAAACCAGTGTGGAGATCTACTGCACTCGGCACAAAGCGTGAACAAGATTCAGATTTTCAACACTAACGTCAAGTCAGTGCTTCTATGTGTTGGTTGAGATACTTGGTGCATTATGAAAAGCATTTTCAACAAACTGCAGGCATACATCAACAGCTGCCGCCTATGCTTACTCAATACTGATGATCAGATAGATGACCACCAGAAAGAATTAGCAACAATGAACTCTGAGAGCGAACCAACCAAGAACCTATGACTCAACAAATATGCAGGAGAAAGTGGAGGTGGACTGGGCATAGACTGAGAAGGCCGATTGGGGACATCACGCGCCAGACCAGGCCTCGAATGGAACCGAAGTGGTAAACGACGAGTTGGGCTTTTAAGCTGAGGGTGACATGGAGGAGATCATATGAGGAAGAAATGGAAGCTTCTTGGCAGTAGTGAAGCCAGACTGGAGAGAAGAGAGTGAAATGGCGACATGCTACTAAGGTCCTGTTCCACTAGTAACCCAAAGGACAAAAAATAAATACAGCATATATCTTGTTTCCTACTTATCCACCTAAAGTTTCCACCTATTTACTCTTGAAATCTTATCGACACCAGTCAAGTAGTCCATGCTTTCCTATTGCTTTGAGGTATGGTGACACAAAGTGGTGCGCTTGCTATAAGCCCTACGTTGTTTACTATATGCGTTTGTCATAATGGATGGTCAAGATTCATCCAGGCAAATTTAGTTTGATAATCCTGCTGTGTAGAACCTACCTTTTTAACTAAATGTGACTAACAATATTCTAGTCTAATTTCATTGGTTTTTGTCATGGGTGTAACTTTAAATGAACACAAGAAAATTCAAATAACTCTTAACGAAACAATGGAACTGGGAATTAAGAATACATAGACTAAACCTGTCCGTATCAGTTGCCGATGAAGTACAGTAGTTCAGGGCTCTCGATTGGTTGTGATACTTAAGTTCTAATAAGACTCCAAAAAAGCTAGCTACATGCTGAATTTAATAAAATTGTTAACCGTTTGTGCCAAACGACTAATCTCATGTGATTGTTCGAAGGTAAGATGGTATGTTTGTCATTGTAATTCTGAACTTTCTCGACTGTCTAAATCAGTACTAAGTCTAACCAAAATCTGCTAGAAATTAGCATTATTTTGATTTCGTTTATCACTGTTGCTAGGACCTTGATATCTGGTAATGAACGACTTTTTGTACCTGTGCATACCGTTTAGTTCAGTCTTAGTTTGTTTGCCAGATATAGCTCACAGCATTACCTACTGGATGATTTCAAACAACCTTTCATTTATAATCGTATCAAAGTAACCACACAACTTTATATCCTAGTTCTTATGGTTAATCTTTATTGTTGTGCAGGTAACAGAATTTTCCAGTTATTTGGAATAGATGTTAAATCGTTTATACTTGAATGTGTCATATTTTGATGAGGTAAACAAAGATTCGCTAACCACTTTCAAATATTGAACTCTAGTAATATATGCAATTAGTTCCAATCATTAGTGCGATGGAAAAGATAATAGTTGTGATAACTAACTTACTTAACTGACTGTAAATTGATTACTGGATTTTCGCTTATCTAAAACAGATGATAAAAATTGGTAGTTTGCCTGGTGGCAAGCAGTGGAATTCAGGACATGTTTTTCATCCAACTTGGGACTCGTCAGCTAGATGTGCCTGTACCCCAGCGAAACTCGAAGCCATTACTCATCGCTTCATGCTCTAAAGCGTTACCCACTGAGGCACGATAACCCATCTGCCAACAGAGGTCGAGGATTTCAATGCAGTGTAGCATCGGGAAGTTACAAGTATCAATAAATACAATTAGAATGTTACAACACCTGTTGTAGCTAGCTGAAAATTTCTAAAAATGAAGAAACACAAACTACAAAAGCAGGATCTCAATGCTGTATAGTTACTTTAATAATTAAAAACTATCCAGTTATGCTGCAGCTGCGTAGTTAATTAGAAAAGTGCCATAGAACTATTCAAGCTATCGAACAACTAGAGGGTGTCTAGCGAAAAGGGTTACCAAGAAGGTGTGACCGACGTCTTTTCATAGTGACATTTGATTTGAAAACAGATAGATAACTGTCCATCCAGTCCCCTCTGTTCCCCAATAAGCGTCATCTTTCCGATCATAACTTATTGAAATTATGCTTTAGCAAATTCCGTTAGTTATAGCAATAAATTTTCGCATGGTAATTTATTCGTAGAAGTATGTATTGCCTTAACTTTATGAAGTAAGTAGCCAAACACTAACCAGTTAGTTGATTGGGATTTGTGGAATCTATCACACCTGTAATTTGCCTCTGGTAAGTTACTATTCCTCACGTATATTTCATATTTAAGCTGTCAGGAGTCTGCTCAGTTTAGTTAAGGAAGGAAAGACCAATTTCAACACCCGTATGCAGTGTCGCAAACCACATACTAGTCACAAATGTTTTGTGTGTAGATTGCTTAAGCATATTCCGAATCTGCTAGTTAGAAGGCAGCAAATGGCTAATACAATGAGTATGAATGCTTCCCTGTGTATGCTATATTTTCTTCACCAAAATATAAACAAGCTGGGATTATATTAAAATTTTAATTGTCTCATTGTTTTGCGTTAACAAAACATTGTAGTGAAATTTCAATACGCTGTGATAGCTCGTTTAGTGAATCACTAATCAAATACGTTCTTATACTATGAGAAGGTTATATTTTATTCCCTTAGGTTGAAATACTTAGTTTATGACATTCTACTAATGGCCGGACTTGAAAATCCGAGTGCATATAAACATGATTTGTCGAGACCTGAGTTTTTAAAATGGTGATAGGCAAGCGACGATGTTGTAGAGAACGGAATGACTAATGGGTTCAATGCTGATCTTTTCTACCTACCCGTGTCTTCCTTCCTCTATATCATCATAATATGTTTCTCCGAAAATCCCCCCTTTTTGTGTTGTTAATCAGTATAACAATGTGGACTGATGCATTTCCAATAGGCTTTCACGTTCTCTCCAATAATCTGTGAGATCCAACTACACGTAACTAAGGCATGTAACAAAGAATACATTGCATAAGTCTCAGCTTATTTTTTTGAATTTATAGAAATCTGAATGGATGTAATGAGTATGGATAGCTAACGAACTGCTTCATCCCTTTTTTCTAGATTGCCATCATCAGCTGTATGGATAGACCATACCATATGCAAACCAACTCCACATATCGAACAGCCGAATTCAGATTCTCTGCAATCAACAGGAAAAGTTGTCAAAAATGTTCATAGTCATTGGAGGAAACTTCTTTTGCCTTTGATATGTTGTTTTAAAGGACCAAAAAAAGTACATGAATCTTCACTGAAAAACCAGTCTCGAAATAGTATGGATTGCTGTACAAACCCTAACCTGATCAATGATGAAACACAGTGTAACATAAGTTCCCAGCGCAATTCTTTCAGAGAAAGTACTGAAAATCCGGTTGTAAGTTGCACAAATGACTTCAGAACCAGAACAGCAAGCCGAGCTATATTGGATAGCAAATCCCTACAGTTTTATAACTCAGTTCTCGAAAACGACTCACCACTACACGATGCAGTTGTCAAGTACTTAGAACAATCATCAGGTGTTTTGGTATTAGATTGCAAATTAGGTCATTTTTCTCGAAAACCCACCAATACTGATGCAAGCATAGAATCAGTATCTGCACTATGCATTTTACTTGTTGCCACCCAATCAGAAATAATTAAACGACTATCTGAGAACTGTAATTTGCACCCATCTATTATTGAACCTTTATCGAATGAGACCGACAAACCTTTACAGTCTTGTGAACTTAAAACAGTTTCAGATAAACGTATGCTTACTTCTAAATTAGCAGATGACCTTGCCACAGTTCTAATTCGTGCGGGTGCATTGCATCGATTAGAACTACAAAATTTGCGATTACTAGTCACACTGGATCCAAAAGAAGTGCAGGTAGCGATCAAAGAACTGTTAGATCTAGAAGAATAATCCCTTTCAATCTGCAAACAAATCCCTTTCTACTGATTAGATAATGTATAAAAAGCTGTGATATGCCTTGTTTCCATTGATCCCTTGTAATTATTAATTGTACATTCACCACTAACTACGTTTTTTGGTCTGTCTTCCAGTTCAAGCATTTCACTGAATCGTCAGTATTATTCTTCATATATTCTTATTGATTAATTAAACTTTAATTTCCATATTGTTCTTTGAATTTTTTTTATTTTGCCACTAGTCATTCCTATGCTTTAAACTCTCATAAATAATACAATACTCTGATAACAATTCCTCATACCTATTTTACTTGTTTTCTTGAAGAATAAGTAGTAGACGATGTGCGTTTTACAGGTTATCACAAATGGTTTGAATTTGTCGAAATGAAATGCTTTCGAATAATTCAGTTCGTCAGTGGAGTCGAACTTACTTTGTATAACGATCAGGTGCCGGTTCTACATTGATTATAACCTGTAAGCACTTGTATGTTATGACTAACCACTCATGAAGAAATACGAAGATCCATGTAAACGAATCTGCATCCGATCAGAGATAAAAGTTAGTGTTAAGTATTGTTAGTTTTGAACTTAAATTAAGTCATTCTCAGTTAACACTAATGATATCAATGAATGCAATAATCTATTTAATGATATTGAAATCTGGTTAAATACAGGTGAAAGTGATCCTGGAAAGATTCGGTCATATAAAAAAAAGGTATAGAAATGCGATCTGTGGCAAAGATATTTAGTTGTAGTTGATATTGCAATAAAATGGATAAAAAATATGTAGTTATAGGCCAATCACCCTTGGAAATGTAGTTGTTTTTGTAGGGATTACAGCTCACGTGCACGTGGTCTGAAGGAAAGACGATCTTTGCGGAAATTTAAATCCATACTACCCAAAGTTCCATCGTAACGATTTTTCACAACCTGGTTTTAAGAAAATAAAAATACATAGTAATCAATATTTGCTTACGCATTATAATGGCAAAGATTCAAATAATATGAATTGTGCCATACATCTGTCAATGATAAAGCTTAGTGATAAAAAATAAGAAAACTGTAAGGTCAAAGGTACACAAGATATTCGTTGTGGGAAAAACACTAATGAAGGGGTATAACTTACTTCTCAATTGTGTATCATAATTCTATCGCAGCTGTTCAACTTTACAGATACTATAGTTTGTAGATGTACATTTATCAAATAACGTGTAGCTTACATTGTCAACACTCGAACCAGAGTGACCTAAGTAAAATGAAGAAATACTAGTTGAGAAAATGTGTTTATGACTATTTTTTTGGGGGGAAGATAGAATTTCGTATTACGATGAAAATTTTGAACAGGAAGCGAAATGTAGCAGGTTGGCATAAACAAACTCATAAGGATCGATTAGCTTTGTCCTTATAAATTCTTCTGATAAATAAGTCATCTCCTGGTGAGGAAAATGATATATTGAGAGGTTTTTTCACTTCTCGAAGTTAAATCAAATAGACAGTCTATTGGGATAGAGGATTAACGAACTTTATTGATGACTAAGACAAAACGAAATAGAAATTCCCTTTATGAGCAAATGAAAGGCTGAAAAAGAGGTTGTGAATGAATTTCATTTTCCGTAGCTGTAGCTACTGGTAGTAATAGCACATCTATTCTGCGGCTGGTTTCTTTCTTCCCTGTCTCAACTTTGTGCACTTCACGTCTATAATTTTACTTGGTTACTTAGGGCTTTCAATCATATAACTTGCAGTAGTATCCTTACTACATACAGATATCATTTTGTTGGTGAATGTTATTTTTCCCAAGCGGCGACGAAATTTGTTACTATCCTAACCAGGATTTATAATATAATCTCAAAATAGCTTTTTAACCTGAAATGGATAGGTTCTAATCAAGCTGTGGTTCATTATCTCAGATACCCAACTTTTAATCAGTATGCCACAAGTGCAAACACCGTACCACCTACCGAGATCTACCTTTGTGTACCGATGCAGTTTAGTCACCTTTAGCGTTGTTCCAGCCTAATCCTACTCTAGCAAACACCGTGCGTCGAGGTAGGCAATGAATCGGCATACACAAAAATTATCTAAAACACTCCAATTGGTATAATTTCATATCATTCTATATTTGGGCTTGTGAATAAAACAACTCAGTAATGAAAGAATTTCTTTACCGTCGATATCTCTACTAGAAAAGTTGTGCAATTGTGTTTATAATTATTTGTTACAAATAAGAGTCTGAGGGAAAAAATCGATTCATATGGTGCAAGTAGATAGTTTGCCAGGTGATAGCGAAAAATGTGAAGACCGACAACCCATTTGTAACATCAAAGCTTAATGACCAGAATTCCACTTTCAATATACGAAAAAATAAACTTCAAAGAAATCATTAAACTCATCGACGTCTACTATTTGTAAAAGCAGACTGATATCATGAACAGATTTCTAGAGAATAATTTAAATCCTTAGTATGCATGTTATTGTGATTTTTGTACTGTTTTCTGGGCAAAATGAATATCTGGGTTTGGCCTGCGAGAATATTATTCACTTCCTACTTCAACTACCCTATTTGACAATCTCAAATGGCATCATTATGACACACAGAATCAACGTAGAACCCCACACACACACACACACACAAGTGCATCGATTCAAGTTGCCACACATCACAGTAGTGTACAAATAACAGGTGGATAGAATAAGAGAGATATCAAAGTAGACAAAATTATGAGAGAGAATAAGCAATTTTAAGACGAAGGTTGGTGAGAATATTCAACCTTCCGAAAAGTCGAAGAGTGGATACATTTTCAGGCTTGTCACCACTTATTCCTATCGTCTCGTAGACCCCACCCAGGTAGTCCTAATTTTCCCGCATGACTCAGGCTAACGGTCAGGGACTTCGTCAACTGATGCGTCTTGGTCTGGCCAACCTGATCCTTCTTCCAATCTAATCCAGCTTCCCTTAGCATGGCACATTGCGGGTGAGCGGTGACTCGGCATGCCCAAACCATCTCAGTTGATAAAAGCTTATAACTTCATCGACCAACTCACCTATTACCCTTCGCCTGAACTCAACGTTGCCCGCACGGTGATTTCACCAAACGCTAGCAATACTACGAAGACATCTATAATCGTATCACTGGAACCGCTTCATATCTTCTACTTTCAAGGACCTTGTCTCAGTCGTACAACAAGACAGAACGAACTGCAGCGCAGTATACCTATCCTTCGATACATAGTTGGATATCTCGCCGGCACCACATGTGATGCAAGTTGGCAAATGTATCATTATAGTTATGAATACATTAAAAATGAAGTAATTAGGTGATCAAGTAGAAAGTATTAAACATCTTTAGGAAGTTCATCATTCCCAGTAACATTTAAACACAATTTTACTCACAGAAGTAAATGTTGGAATATAATCGATAGTATAATAAAAGTTATTTCCACCTAGTAATCCCTTTTCTCTGATTTATACATTTATCTCTAATAAATATATAAAATAATGGACAAATGACGCATCAACATACTTAGTGGTATTGGTGATGATATATATATATATATATATATATATATATATATAATAAACATAATCTCAGAGAAGTGGATAAACAAGATGTACGTATGCCACAAAAATATATTAGATTGAATTAGTCAATTGTATCGTTCAAGTATCATGTGTACATACAGCTTTTAAAAGAGTAAACTCCAAAATACACAATCTGAAAACAGACTGTTCAAATGTCGTCTGTCAGTATGCATGCATTAAAACTTTCAAACAAATATAACTTCAGTACCTTAGGTCAGAAACATACAGAAAAGCCGAGTAGATATGATTCACTAATCGTTATACAGACAGACATTAAAATATGCTATTGCTTTTGTTTCCATGCACAAAAGATTATGCTTATTATCTGCATAGAACGATCTGTAATTGCTTTCAGTCTATAATTTTAATTTACTGGTATGAGCATTTGACTTTCAGCCAACAGGTGTGGCTTGTATAATCTAATACACAAACCTGTAACTGGTTGTAAAGTTCCACTACTGTTATGTATTCATCCACTCGGTTCTGATTAGGTCAACCCAACGTAGTCATAAAGATATAGATTTATGCAAAGATACGAGACAAGTCGAAAAAGTAACTTAATCATGACACTAGAAACGGAATGAAACATATGACGGGTTGGAGAAATAGAACACTATCCAGTATATTTCAAGGGAAACATGAAAAAAATAATACTTCATAGCTGAGTGGCATAAATGAGAGACGAAAAAGGCAGGAAAGATTTGAACCAACCTAAATATTTAGTATTTAAAATGCTCCTTAGAAAGCTTCTCTATCCTTCTCATATACATGATACCATCGAATAGCTGTTTCTGCAAGTACAACCAAGCTGTATGGTTCAGAAGACGCAACACTTTGATATCACGATTCTATATTTGGCTGTGCAACATCTGACCATAATACCTAGTCGCATAAATTGAACAAAGCTTGGACCTATTTTACTCAACTGACAGAGAGATGGGAAGAATAACACCTGGAAAACCTATCAGAGGCTGCGCGACACAACAAACTATACATTTGTGTATCACACTGTAAGTGATAAGAAACCGTTGTCGAAACCTTGATAAGTGGTACAGAATTCATACCAATCACCCACGGTCTTAATGTCAATGGGCCGCAGTTCCTCAGCGTATCAGAACAGGTCATCCAGTACAGTTACCCTAATACTGATAAGTAAATGATTCATGAAATAAACATAATAAATTAGGCGCCAGATTAGTTTTAAACTCTTACAATAACAGCAAGCAGATGATGTACATTTCGATTAAGTCTCACTATATTCCTAAATTAAGTGTTGTTCAGCGAAAAAGATAAATATTGGAGGGGAGTAACAGGAACCAACATATAAAACACTTTCAGTACCAAGTTTCATAGTCGATATATCATTTCTCCAATGTTTGGTAATCAAATAAGCGAAACCAATACAGGTCCAATTAGTAAAGACGTGCTTATTCGCTATAAAAATTCAACTTTTAGGCAAGTATGTAGGTTTATTCTAATTTCACCTACTTTAAACTGAGCAACTTGATAGTATCATGAGTTGTCATAGACAGAATGAACGCAGAACCCCACACACAAGTACATCGGTTCAAGTAGCCACAATAAGCAGTACCATACAGAGAACAGATAGATAGAGAGAGAGAGAGAGAGAGAGAGAGAGAGAGAGTGAGTGATATCATATTCGACCATGTCATATGAGAGAATAAACAATTTGAAGGTGAAGGTTAGTGCAAACATTCTACCTTTAGAAGACGTCAAAGAATGAATACATCTGCGCCACTGAGACCGATTTTCAACCATGTTACCAAGAGTTCTAAACCACTGGTTTTTATCGTCCGGGATACCTAGACAGTCTACATCTCCGTACACAGCTCAGACCAACGGTCAGGGACTTCATCAACTGGTGTCACGTTTTGGTTTCCCCACCCTGAACCCTCTTCCAATCTAATCCAACTTCCTCTAGCATGGCACACAATAAGTGAACCTTATAGTCTAGTACATCATTAAGTATAAGGCTGAGCTGTATTTTTCTTCAGAGGCAAATCATATGAAACACCGATGACTTTAGTTGTTTTTTTTCATTATCCTTCTTCTGTCAACAGTTTCTAAATGATTTCAACACTAAAATCTAATGGGGAACGAAGAGTAAATAACTTGCAAAGCCAACACTTTACACTGTCTACCACTGCATATTACGAAATACACCAAAAATATAAAGTAGATAGGAAGGAGAGCTAGTCATCAGTAAGACAAAGGATTACGAATTTAAATCATTTTGCAAAACATTTAACTGTCTAAGTGATTCTCAAGTCCAACAAACTAAGATCAATAAATCATAACATTGTATCGAAAAAGTTTCTCAAATAGT